AACCCCCATCGTGAAAGTCCCAACAGCTAGGTGTAAAATGGCAAGCACACATAGTGTCTACGTGAGAGGAAAGCTGGATGGTCGAAAGTGCAACTTTGTCATAGATTCTGCATCTCAGCAAACCCTTGTGAGTATTAAGATGCTAGATCACAAAGGAGTATCAGAAGCCATACAGAAGCTCTGTGGTGTGACAGGACATTATGCAAGGTTGTGGGGACCAGTGTGGGTAACTATTGAGCTGATGGGCATAAAGGACAGACACAAGGTAAACTTGGCTGACATTGAAGACCAATGAATACTAGGGTTGGACTACTTACTACTGAGGAGGTGTGTAATTAATTTTGATAAAATGACGTTTGGGAACAACGAAGGCCAAATTTCGGTAAGTGTTAAAAGAGAGGTTGAACTAATCAGGTTTCATCAAGCTGAAGTCAAAGTGACTGAAGGAGTTGATGATGGTGAAGTGGAACCAGGTACAGATATTAAAGCAGAGCAGGAGAAAAACCAAGATTTGAAGCAAAGGATGTGTGCAGTTACAATATTGTATAATATGCCTGTAGAGTGATTGATGAAAGAGGGGATTATTGATACAGAAGGGATCGAGGCTGACAGAAGTAGAATCTGTAACAATAGGTGTACTGATAATCCAAAATTATGGTTGAATCTGAAGAAGAGGTATAGTGGTTACATGACAGGCTTGTTGATACAGGGAAAGACTATATGCTCAGAATAAATGCCATCAAAACAAAGACAGTGTTAATTTATTGATCTGAGGAAGTTTCTAGAATATGTATCACAGTAGAAGGTAAAGAGTTGGAACATGTAGAGTAGTTTACTTGTTTATGAATGAATATCAGTAGTGCTTGCAAGTGCAGAAAAAGATATAAGATGAAGGATAGGAGTGGCAAAAACACCATTCTTCAGTCTTAATTGCTAAGTTGCAATGGCAAGAAAGGTCCACTACCAAATCTTGAGCAATTGTCTTTTGTGTTCACTCTTGATTTAATATAAATAAGTGTCCTTGATCTTGAAAATTGAACATTGGCAGTGAAAAACACCCGCCATTAGCATTCAGCTGTGTTCTGTTTGTCTGGGCATGTGCAAAATCATGTGGAATAGTGAAATCATGTTGCTTGCTGCAGCCTGCCTTATAGCCAATTTCGGAGGAAGCAACAAAGATTATGATGAGTCATTCTGAGCTATTTGATAATTTTCCTACTTGTTTAAAAAAATACTATCTGTTGGTTCATGACTGTGGAGGTTCAAAGTACTGAATACAAGTATAAAAATGTTACAGATTACTGCAGTACAAAAATGAAAACTGGGTTATTTAGGTGTCCCAAAATGCTCTTTCTGGATACTGGGAAAAATATTCCAAAAATGTGACTATCCCTGCTAAACTAGGCTTTTCATTAAATATGTGTGAAGATTTAGTGAAATCTTCGATGAGTTTTTTAGGCATAAATACCATTTACAAGGAATTTCTGTTAAAATGTTGTTTGTGAAGTTAGGGCAACAACCTGTGTCAAAGTGAACATAGCCTGTAGAAATCAAGCAATATAGAAGAAATAATTTGCTGTTGTTAAATGGACTGGTTGCATTATTTTTACCAAATAATCCAAAAGAACCTTCCAAAAGAAAGAACAACAATACAAATAGCCAAACATGATCAACTTCTAGTTCATGGACTCAGGTTATACAGTGTAAGTAAAGATGAAGATGACTCCCTATACGATGTATGTTAAGGACACACTGACATTAAAATCAATATTTTAGTTGTTGTTTTTTTTAATACATTTGGGCAAAATGTACATGCAATTTGTGAATTTGATTGTGTGTATAAAAAGGCACCACAGTGTTCTAAGTCTTAATTAATCATACTGACTAAAATAATTTATTTAAGGCCTTCACATTTGATGAGCGCCATCACACTGATGCTCATAAGCTCCATAAAATGGGTTTTGTGATATCTTATTAGAGCCCCCATCAAGTCTGTCATGGTGCTTGCTGTTCACACAATCAGCTGTTGTTTGTTTACACAGGATAAGCTCACAGATAACTTCTTGTGATCCTCTTGGCTGCTACGATTTTGGTACTTTAATTTTAATTGGCCTAGACTAGCAAAGTTACACACAGAGTCAGTGGCAGATTAAGACACATCATGACCCTGGAAGAAGTGAATAATAAGAGGCCTCCTCATGCATATTATTTTTATTGTCTAAGACAATCATTACTTCACAGTTAAATATACACCTTGGTCCATATATATGTGTGTATATTCATAATTAAATTCCATTTTTGTACATGTACATTTTTAATTGTTAATCCTATTTTAACAACATAAATCTTGCTCCAAAAGTTATTTATTCATAACTATAATACGATTTCAAATAGCACTCCCAAAAGAAAATTATTTAAATACTCATTTTCCTTTTCAACAACACTTTACATATAGAATCCTAACTTAGAATTGTTTGGGCTCCTCGGTAGCAGCCTCAGGTACCCTCCTATTAATCCAACACTTCTCACACTAATACGATATTTTCAAACTATACTGTTGTATTATAATTTATATAGACATCCAATATTTGTAACTGAGAAATTAAGTCAACATGTTAAAGTTTATATTTCAAAATTGGCTATTAATTATTAGTAAAATCAGAAAAGCAAGAAGAGCATTAACAAATTTAATTGTGACTTAGATTGTTTGATGAACTATTATTTTCTGCATGACATGAGGCCACAAGGGATGTCATACTGATCGGAGATCATCATACTTATAGTTCAGTTCTGGTTTCACTTTCAATTGTAAACATGTCTCATCTTAGTTGGCGAACTGCTGTTTTCTTGTCAATCTTTGCCAAATGGAATCTCAGTGGATAAATTGGATTTTCTTCTTCAAAGGACACCTTAGGAAGAGATATTGTAACAAAAATTGGTGCAAGCTTTGTGCTAAATACAACAAAATCATCCAAAAAAAGTAAAACGAAAAGGTCAGGAGGAGGTGTACACACACATGACACTGAATCCAAAAGGTAGTAAGCACACTGTTACGAGCCTTTTGAGTTCTGAAAAACAGCAAATATATTTAGGTATGTATAATTATATATATATCTTGTTTGCGTACTCATTACGTGTACACCCTGTATCCTCAACTATTTACATTTCACAAATTATACTATACTCAGTATACAGTGTGGTTTATAATAGTTAATAATAATATCACCTTTGATATCAAACATTACCTGTATAGGCCTATGTTTGTATGCAAATTGCAAGCATTTACAGAAAGCAAAGAAAAATGGATGTTCCCAGTACAGTTGTTAGTGTGTTACACATTCACTTCAGCAATTGAATTAGGCTTATTCTACATTGAAACTGAAATCAGAATTTTATGCATTTATAAGTTACTCACTTATTGGCCAAGACTTGGTGTTATGTACTTTGACTGATTTTCAAGTTACTTATGAATCTTAGATTTGGTTATTCATTAAGTTTATGTCAGATAAATATATTATAAAGTAATTAAAAAACTGATTTGGTGGCTTTTATTATTTAATAAATAATTTAAACATAATTAAATGTCTATTTTATGTACAATATTAACTGTTCATTGGTATTTTCTTTTTTTTTTTATTTATAAACTGTTAGGCTCATACATACATTGTTTTTGGTAAATTTCTGTGTTATCAGTCACTTGGATTATCTTTTATATAGATTCTAATGTACATATAGTATTTTTATTCAAACTTTGCTGTTTTTATTAAATTGTTTTATTACAAAGTATGTTATGCAAGTTTTATATGTTTATACATTTGTGCATTTAAGGCTTTTAAAAGTTGCTTGAAGATGATGAGAAGACTTCCTGGCACCAGTGGTACTGCTAGTAATGGTCCTTCTACTTCCAGCATCTCTCTTCAACCTTGAATAAATGTAGCTCTGCATGCACAAACTAAGGAACATACAGAAAGCTTCTTAAAACAGCTTACTTGCTTGCTGTGGATGGCAGCCTTTTTTAGCATTTAGAACTTTAGTTGAAGTGCAAAAACAGAATGTAGTACAACTGATTTCCAATTTTGGTAATGCCAATAGAGTGAAAGAATTTATTAATGTTATTGCAGAAGCCAGGGGTGAAATTTTCAAAACAAAAGTAGAGGTACTCAGCTGGGTGAAGTGGACCTGTTTTTCAAAAAAAAAACGTGTAAACATAACAGTACCGCCTTAAAAAATAAGCTCCGGCACTCAGTATCGGTGTAAACTGGCAGAATTTCACCCATGGCAGAAGCCATTCCTGAGAAAATATAATGGTTTTATGTTCAGCAATAGCTTTCATAGAGCTTAGTGATGGAAGTCAGGCAAGAAAAACTGGCTGTGAAAAAAGAATTGATTTTCATTAGAACAGTCAAGCAAAGGACATTAATAGCTTTGGTTATGCAGATGCAAGTAATCTAAAGAGGAGCATTGATGATGTATTCAGAGGTGGTGGAAAAGTTTGAATTCTAGTAAAGAAATGCACTTTACTTACCTGCTGGTTTCAGCTACAGCTGATGGAGCATTTGTTAATACTGGCATTTACAATGGTTTGCTAACAAAACTGAAAAATGGCAATCACCTTTGTGTTCTAGGCATTCTCTGCATTTTCCATAGAGTTGAACTGGTGTGGAAAGATAGTATATTTAAATCATTTGCTGAAGTGAAATACTTCATGACAACTATATATTACTTATTCAAATGATCTGGAAAGTTCAAAAGACACTTTGAGACAACTTCCCAATGCATTTGATGTGCAGCATTTTAATTTTCCCAAAGTGCATGATGCAAGATTTGTTGCACACATAAGATATGGAGTAAATAATATACTGAGTAGGTGGGTAATTCTTGCTCAAGCAGTAAAGAATTCCTTTGCCAGTGGCAAAGAGAGAGTAGTATCAGCTAAATTTCATGGACTATTAAAAAAGAGATGAAAGACTACTTTTCTGTCAAAATGTTGTTTGTTCAGCAAAGTTGTGTATCCAGTATGAAAAAGAAAACATTTTATGCTATCAGATACTGCCTATGGTAGAAAAAGCAAAGGATGACTTATAGGAACTCAAGAAAGAAACTTCAAGTACATGGTAGGATAATCTTTTTAAAAAGTTCAAACTTGAACTGGAAATGAAATCAGATTTCTGGCATCTTAAGAGCACTTTGCTTAAAGTAGAGCACCATAAAAAGAAAACAGGAAATACACTACTGTCAATGTCAACAACAGTCTGATGGACAATGTAGACTGTGCTGAGAAAACTGAAGACAAACTGAAAATTATAGTCATTCCAAGTGTACAAGGCTTGTCTTAAATCAAGATTCTCCTCATTTGAGAGTGAACTTTATGAAAGTATGTTTTGGATAAACCCAGCAAACTGAGATACCACCACCAGAGAAACTGAGTGTTTAAATTTACTTGCAGAGCATTTTTATGGGACATTAAAAATTAACAATTTTGATAAAACTAATATAAGCTCAGAATGGAAAGAATTCAAGAAAATGGTTAAGTACTATATAATTGGAGTCAAAGCTAAGGATCTTTGTGAGTGTCTGTGCTTCTATACAGAAGGAAGGAATTTAAGAATGTTTGTATGCTGGTGGAAATAGTGCTCTGCATAAGGCCTAGTAATAATATCATTCAGGCAGGGTTTAGTCACCTTACCCAGATATTCACTGACCAAAGCCTTAGTTTAAAACATGTAACACAGTGGAGAACCTTCTGTTGATTAAAACAAATAGTTTTCTATGTACAAAGGAAAAAAAAGGAACACATATTAGAAGCAAGTTTGTGACTTAATTTTTTGAACAAATAGTGAAACTGATATTTTATTTCCTAGTAAAAACATAAATAAATATCATTTTACTCTTGTCTGTATGTTACAAAAGAGTAATTATCGTATGGTTATAGTGATGATGTTATGTGCCAGACTTTAAGGAGATTATAACATTATAATTTTTCCAATTTTACTGGATATAAAAATTTTAGTGATTGGTACTTTGATTATTCATCAAATTAATATACTAGGACATGTTTGTGTTTTTTTCCTTTACTTTGCCCTTGAAAAAGGACTACAGGTTCACTTAATAGAAAAACAGTACAATTCAGTCAATACAGATTATCTTTATTCTCCAGTAATGTTAACAAAGAATAGAGATATAGCATCAACTCATTAACAGCCTCTGTGTACTGTTTGGCAGGAGCTGTTACAGCCCTTGTACATCTTTCAAACATCAGGGCATGTTATTTAGGTGTTATAAAATTTGATCAAGTTACAGATGTTGGGCTATAGCTGTGCTAAAAAACAAGATTACTTCAGATAATATTGGACAGGGAGGGGGTAATTTTTGTGTTCTTGAACAGTAGTTTTCATTGCCAAACTTGCTCATATATATGTTATTTGTTTTCAGTCTTAAGTGTGTCTGCAGAAATATGAAAATCCAATATTATGCCCATTGGAGCAAGTGAATTAAACTGAACATATTAAATCCCTGATCATTTGATTGCTTTTCTGTTGCCTTGGTTATAGAATAACAAACTTTTAATCTTTCCAAGTACATTACCTTGTAAGATAAGGGATTGCTTGCCTTACTTGTCAGATTCTTGCTTTTAAAATTGATACCAGTTCTAATTGTTACTGGTTTTTTGATACCTTTTGCTCACTTCAAGATCTGAAGTATGGATGTTACAAGCATATGTACATTTATGTACATTTTAACTATAATGCTTTGATTTTTTTCATGTAATCTTTTCAACAGTGTTATTTAAATTCTTCTTTCAGAAACTCTGAGAAACGAAAAGAAAAGTCCCGTGATGCTGCCCGTAGTCGACGAAGTAAAGAAACTGAAATTTACTCTCTGCTTGCAAGTCAATTACCTTTTGCTTGCTCACAGTTAGATAAAGCTTCACTCATGAGGTTAACCATCAGCTACTTGAGAATCAGACAACTCCTTAACCCTGTCGCAGGTATTAACTTTAGAAAAATATTCAAATATGCTCTAAGAAAAAAAATTTTTTGCATGTATGAACTGAACAATAAGATTAAACATCCTTAATATAAAATCCTCACTTAACATTTTATTTAATTACATCTGTGTTGTATCATTTAAATCAATTGTCAGGTATGTTAAGAATTGTTCAAATCAAAAGGCAGATGTTTTTGCAGAAAAATAAAAAGATAGGATATGTTTTAACCCTAATTTGTGACATTATGATTGTGGTGTTTTCTTAAAATGTGGTATAAAATGGTTTTAAAAGTTTTGTTATTACAGTATAAAGAAAGAAAGTTTTATCTTGTTTGAATTTCTTTTTACAGTTTAAATTATATTGTCACTATTTAGTGATAAAGGTCAACTGCTAGTTACATTGTAATTACACCTTCTTACATACATCTTGCATAGTAATATTAGTTTGGTCTTAATTAGGTAGTATGTAAAGGTACTTTGACAAATAAAAAAAAAAAGATACTCTCTTGGAAGCCTAATCCTGTAAATGGGTCAGATATAAAAACGTTTTCTTTGAAAAGAGGAAAATAATTTTGCTTTTCTTTATTGCTAGTGTTGTTGTTGGAGAAAATAGCAAATATTCAACCTCAAATCATATTTTAGATTAAAATTTCTGAATTTTTGTTATTCGGATTGGCTTGAAAGACGGAAAAAAGTTTTTTATGTAATAAAAGTTGTTTCATTCATTGTTTTGTTTTTAGTTTTATGGTTTTAGTAAATTTTTTTCAGTAAAATATATTTTGCTTGGTGCTATCACAGAATGATAGTATGTTATTGTAAACTATATTTTTAATATTGTAATTTCTATGTTAGCTCAAGGGTACATGATGGTAAGATATGCCTAAAATGCTTGGAAAATTATATGTTCAAGTCAAATTGTTATTGTAAATACAAAAGTAGGTTATAAATACAAAATAGTTGTGAAGTGTTTAAAGTTGTTTTAAGATAGAGAGTTGAATCAGTCATTGTGTTTTCCTGAAGTATTTGGACTTGTGTTAACTATTGCACTTGTTGAGTTATTCTGTATAAGAAACTTGATTTTAATCCTTGTATTGTTAAAAATGTTTGAATGTCATTTGTAATATAGGCCTACAACTGTCCAAGTTTGTAGAAATGTTAAAGGAAGAAATAAATTAATTTATGATAGGTGGATTGGATGTTGAATTATCTTCACCAGATGATTTAAAAGAACCTGCCAGTGAAAGAACAACAATACACATACTGCTATATCAGTTTCTCAAACTTGAACTTCAGAAGAATAAGGATCTCACTTATAATAAAAGATATTGGTATCTGGTAAAACTAAAGGAGGAAATAGCAAATTTCCGTCATGATTAAATATTCTTTATAAGGCCAAATAAAAAATATCAGTATGGTTCCAGTTACTTGACCAACCCTAAGAAATTCATGCTGACTTAAACATTTTATTGTTCCTTTCAAAATAAAATATAATATGCAGACCCATGGTTCTAATAGGACAGGATTTAAAACTAAATAAATCACATAGCAAAATGAGAATAGGTACATTAAATTCAGTTGTTGTTACCTTTGTTTCTAGTGTGTAATACTTTAAAATCATTATTCTTCACTACCAGATGTTTTTAAATGTGTTCCTTTTTCAACTCGTCTCGCAAAAGTGGGAAGAATGGTTGATGCTTTTGAGTTTCACCCCCTCTGATATAAAGCATTACAAAGATGACAATGACAATTGCAAAAGCAATTTAAAACGATCTTATATCTGAACAATATGTATACACAGGTATATGAAGCATTCAACAGCTACAAATATTTTATGAAAACTCTAAACATTTTTACTGAATATTATCTCAGAAAGCCAGATTGTCCATTCCACTTTGCAGCTGTTACACATGCTGTTGAATGCTGAAACCTATAATAATTTGAGAGGTGTTTGCTATTACTGACATTTCCTCCTCCCTGTGTAGAACATGGTGAAAAAATGGCGAGGTTAAAGCCTCAAATGGTAAAGTTTGTTTTATTAATTTGCTGTCCATGCTACTTTGTGTATATTCATAGGTTGTGCAATTTTAAGTTACCAGTGTCATCTTGTTATATTAACAAAGAAAAGTAACTTATATCATTTTATTTATCTACCACTTTATTATTTACAGGTAAAGAAGAAACTTCAAAAAAGAAAGTAAATGTAGAGATGGCTAATATCAATCCTTCAAAAACAATGATGCAAACAAGATAGCACAGGCACACAGTGTAGTAGAATGTTAACAGACAAAAATAGGATAAATTAAACTCAACTTTGATTGAATAGTTATATATATTGCTATATGTTAATTCTTGCCTGTGCTGTTATTTAGAGATGATGCAAATGCCATCCCTACTGTCTTGTTTGCATTGTTTTTGAAGGATTGATATTAGCCATCCCTACATTTATTTCCTTTTTTAAAAAGTTTTTCCTTACTTGTTTATTTGTTCTTTTTAATGCAGTGTTTCAATAGACATAGGAAGGTTGTATTTATAACCCAGTTATAAATGTAATGAGGTTCCCACTGTAATATTTATTGTTTATCTAGTATTGGCTGGTAATTCCTGGTTCACCCTGTACTTATGCTTTTAAAGGAAACACCAAATTTTTGTAAAAAAAGCTAACTTCAAGGGGCAATTCAAGCATTTTGCTTTTTTTACAGACATTCCCGGAACTTGTGACTCAGTCGTTACATAGATATTGTTATAAAAGGAAAGACTGTATAGTATTGTAAAGTTCTGATGACTTGTTGAAATACCATTTCAGTGAACAAGTCGAGCCATTCCTTCATAGGCAGTGCTGCTGCCTGTCTGATATTCTTTGTACACTTGACTTATTCCATTTGATTTAAGAACCAATTTCATTTGATAAATAAATACACGGAATACTGTCTGTATAATTGCTAAATACTAGTGTATTGACCTAAATTAAAATATAATGTTCCATTATATAATAATATATAATATTATGGATTTTTGCTTGATAATATATTTTTCCTACTGACCTGCCATACTTTGAAAATTGGCCTAATATTGATTTGTCTTAAATAATCAGTTCCTTCTTCTTTAGTTTTCTTGTTTTTGGAGTTTTATAAAATGTTAATATCTTTTATTAATAGTGAGATCCTGATTCTTCTTCTCCCCTCTGGTGGGTCAGGGGAATGTTTATGGATTTATAGTGCAAAATATTGAGGTTCTATGGTGGACAGAGTGCAGATAGCCAATTGTGTAACTTTGCACTATTAAAACAAAAACAGCATTGTTATTCATCTTAAGTTAAGACTATATTATTGAACATCTTTTTCTATTATAATTGTAGTTATTCAAGTTAAACAAGGTCCTTCTTGTCGATGTATGTGTATTATTAACAAACAAAAAACATGAAGCAGTAAAAATCAAAATGTGTGTATGTGCTTTATGCCATAGCAGTTATTTGACTCTTATGCTTATTTGTAGCTTTTTTGTATGTTCTTATAAAATGTATTCTGAAACATTATTACCTCAGTTCACACTACAGTTATTACTCGACAGCTACGATTTCCTTCTTTTTCCCATCTAAGAATTGGTCTGATTTTTTCTTGCTTGCTCCAGTTTTTTACTCCCCAATTAATTGCCTTTGGTGATATCTGTCTTCTGACACTCTCCATCTGTGTCAAAGCACCCTCTATCCTGGTACTGTTTATTGTTTGTTTTCGAATTTCGCGCAAAGCTACACGAGGGCTATCTGCGCTAGCCATCCCTAATTTAGCAGTGTAAGACTAGAGGGAAGGCAGCTAGTCATCACCACCCACCGCCAACTCTTGGGCTACTCTTTTACCAACGAATGGTGGGATTGATCGTCACATTATAATGCCCCCATGGCTGAAAGGGCGAGCATGTTTGGTGGGATGGGGATTCGAACCCGCGAGTCGAGTGCCCTAACCACCTGGCCATGCTGGGCCGGTACTGTTTATAAATGCCTCATTCAATAATATTATCACTTTTTCTCGAAAAAGCATTCACTAATTGGTTTCTCTGTACTACAACCATTGGAGATACTTTGAGCATTGTTCATGTTACCTAGTAGATTTTCATTTAAAAAATAAAAGAAACACTTTTTTTTTTCATTTGGCGATCCAATATATGACATGAATTCCCGGACTACTGTTTCTGGCACGGAGGCAAATCAGGTCTCTCCTATCCCACCTCTGATATCTAGCATTTCTCAACAGTCAAGAGTGGTGTGGGAGTCACTTTCAGTTGAGGCTGTCTGTGACCTTATTCGTAATGAAATGGGGACATATATTCGGTCTGGTGGTGTTTCTTCAGGGGGCTCTGAGGCTGCATTTGTGGGCAGTCTTGGACATTCTGGAGAGAATTTAGGTTCCCTTTTTTCCAGCACCTTCCTTTATACTGCCGGCTTCTCAGGAGGCCAAATTGGGATCAACTGCCTCCAGCTCCTTTTTTTTTCACTTGGTAAATCGAGTATGTGTTGTTTGAGTCTTTCCCTTGTTGCTTTTGAGTCTGCACCTTCCTTGATGGTGGAAAGGTGTCCCTCCATCCCCTGATATTGTGGTTCATGCAGAGAGGTTTAGTACTCATTTATGTTAATGGGATGGCTATGCCTTGTATGCAATGTTTGTCAGAAGAACATGCATTAGCTTACCACTACTAGGTGGACACATATTTAGACTCTCAAAGAATAGACCCACTCCTGGAAATTTGGGGTTCCAGAATAAAGTCTGTGGTCACTTTTCTAGGTTTCGTCTGATCCTAACTACAGTGCTTAGATAGTTATCATCTCTCCAACTTTTGTTGGAAGCCTCTCAGCGATCACTACATCAATTTGATGACGAGTTGGGATTAATGTTAGCATTTACCTTAGTTCAGTTGTCAGCTTCTCCACTTTCCCAAGTCTCTTGGCTGGTATGTTGTCGGGATTTGTGGGGTAGAGATATATTGTTGGAGGGCATTCGTCTACCGGCT